GATTAAGGAGAATTTAAGGAAGATTATATGAAGGTGGGAGAAAGCAAGGCAGTGATTGGATTACAGGATAGTTAAGATTATGTGGGTTATGCTTTAGAAGGAGGGGTCTGAAAGGGGGCATTTCAAAGGTGTGTTAACCTAGATGCACAGAAGCAAAAGTCAGGGCTTGCTTAAGGCAAAGATAAGCCTTTTACTAAGGAAGTTATGCCTGTGGCGTGACTACCCTCACCTTGACCTGCCCAGTTAGGAATTTATGATCACATCACCCTGTGATCTGTAGAACCACTTTTTCATCCACAAACCTTAGGGAGACAGGATTCCTGAGGGTAGCCCATGTTGGAGTCAGTAACAGCAGAGCACACAGAAGGGGATGTCCCAGGGATGGGGCATTTGGAATGATAGGGGATTCTGAGGTAAGATCTTTAGGGCATAAGGGGATCTGGGGAAATATCAAGGCTGGCCTTGTTTGGGCAGAAGTTAGTATGGCATGAGAAGGGGTCATTTCAAGGTAGGCATGGGATCATGAAAGGATTTGGGGAAGGCTGTGAGGAGGGCAAGTATGAGAGCACTCCAGGGTGGTGGAATAGGTGGGGGGTGTCAGAAGGGCATGAGGAAGGGAGTTCTTGTGGGTGGGGACCAACCATAGCTGGTCTCGGGGCCAGGTCAGGGAGTTGCAGGAAGAGGTGGATGTCCTAGCCCTCTTTCCCCATTTGCTGATAGGCAGAGTTGGGTGCTATGTCCAGGTGTGAAGATGAGAAGGGGTCGGGGGATGGTTTGAGGCCATGTTAGGCATTGAGACCAGGATTGTCTGGGGGTGGAGAGGAGATATCTCTGGGGCACCCTGTACCTTATTACTTCTTGACAAGCAGTCAGTGAAGGCTTGGGAATAAGGAGGAGGTGGGGTCCAGGTCAGGGTAGGCCTGGAACTGGGGTCAGCCAAACGTGAGAAGATGGGGAGGTTGATGGCCATGAGTTTTGGGTATTGGAAGCTTAGAGTGGAGACCCCAGGACTCTTCCCCCTGTTTTTCTCTCCTTTGCAGTCCTGCTGGGATTAGTAGGTAGCAGGGTGGGAGGAGGAAGAAGAAATCAATTAGGGATAGTTCTAGGACTCAAAGGGCAGACCCCAGGTCTCTTTCCAACCCTACCCCCATTCGTGTCCAGGGAAGCAATTCTGGATCATGACTCAGCAGCCACTTCGAGGAGTGACCAGCCTGCGGTTCAATCAAGACCAAAGTGAGAGAGACTTGTACCTGTACCCTTGTGGGAGGGAGGGAGAGAATGGCCAGAGGTGGGTATTAAGCAGCCCTAGCTTCCTACCTGAGCATCCTTTAAGGCAGCCTGGATTCCTCCTATCCCCCAGGCTGCTTTTGCTGCGCCATGGAGACAGGTGTGCGCATCTACAATGTGGAGCCATTGATGGAGAAGGGGCATCTGGGTGAGCCATCGGTGGGGAAGGGGCAGTGGGCAGAAGGGATGGGTTGGGCATTGGCTCCCACTCCTCCTGACACCCTGGTCCTTGTCCAGACCATGAGCAGGTGGGCAGCATGGGCCTGGTGGAAATGCTGCACCGTTCCAACCTGCTGGCCCTGGTGGGTGGTGGTAGCAGCCCCAAGTTCTCAGAGATCTCAGGTAAGTGCCCTCATCCCATCCTGCCCTTGGCCCAGATTCCCCGGAATTCTGGCCTCCCCCAGGGACCCCAAGGCATTAGCAGATGAAGATGTCAGGGTACTTTTAGAGTTACACAGTGAGGCCTATAGCTGGGAATCCGTGCATCTTATAGTTTGAGAAGCTTGGCATTTTGTCTTCATTTAACAAACATTAATTGGATGCCTCCTGTATGCCATGTCTTTACCTATAGTGCACTTGCTGTGAGCCTGATACTGTTCTTAGCACTTTACATGTATTAACTCATTTAATCCTTACAATAACTCTCTGTAGTAGGAAGTATCATTATCCCCATTTTTACAGATGAAGCTGAGGCCCAGAGAGGTTAAGCGACTTATTAAGGTCACACAACCAATAGGGTTTAACATGTTGGAGCTGTCTCTCCAATGCTTACTTGCCTTGAGCCTCAAGCACCATCTTGTTTTAAAGGATTTTGTTTTTGTTAATCCCATTGCGACATGGCAAGAGAGTCACCCTAGGCAAGTCACAGAGCCTAGGATTTATCACAGAAATGTTTGGGGAGTACGGACTGGGACCCTGGAGGCAGGAATGGTTACTGATGGGAAGTTACAGGCCTGTTGCTAGTCCCTGCTTGCTTGCTGATGGGCTGTGAGGTCATTGGCCAGATACTCAATTCCTTCGAGCCTCAGTTTCCTCACCTACAAATGGGTGTAACAGTTCCAGAACCTGTTCTCTCAGAGATTGCATACACAAGTGCTTCTGCTGTGTGAGGCTCACATTGGGTGTTAGCAACAGGTTAAACAAGTGGGTTGAGGTCCCATGGGGAGTAGGGGTGGGTCTTGTGTCACCAGGTCTGCCCTCACCCTAAACCTTGGCCCGGACAATGCACCCACCTGCCCAGCAGTGCTGATCTGGGATGATGCCCGGGAGGGCAAGGACTCCAAGGACAAGCTGGTGCTGGAGTTCACCTTCACCAAGCCAGTGCTGGCTGTGCGCATGCGCCATGACAAGTGAGCTTGAGGAGGACTCTGGGTGGGGGAGGTAGGAGGTCCCCATAGCAGGTGAGAGGGTTAGTCCCACCCAGGCATCCTGCCCTCTCCTCATGGCCCTCCTGTGTTGTGATGCTCACAGAATCGTGATTGTGCTGAGGAACCGCATCTACGTGTACTCCTTCCCCGACAATCCCCGAAAGCTGTTTGAGTTTGACACCCGGGACAACCCAAAGGGTGAGAGGACCCAGATATGCAGGTGTAAGGGCAGCAGGCAGTGGATGGGGTAGAGGGGAAGAAATGAAGAGAACATGGAAGGGACACACAGAAATGGGGAAAGAGGCAGAGAGAGTCTTTCCACAGAGATATGCTCAGATGGCCTGAAATACTCACAGTCTCAATCTATCCGCCTTTCCATCCCTTAGCCAGTTCTCTCTCCCCACTCTTAGCCCTGTCCCACCCCTGGGTACCCTGGATAGCACAGAAAAAATGCCTAGTAAGCACATAGATGGGTTTGTCAGGAATCCCTGAGCCTACTGGGGCTGCCACAGCTGCACAGGGAAGAGGTAATCTGCCTCGCTGGTGGGAGCACAGTTGAGGGCAGCCCCCTGAGGATTTTGTGGGTAACATGTATCATAGAAGGTCAAAGTCCAGCCTTTACCCTACTTTGTCCATTCTGAGACCCTGCCTGGCCCCCATCTTCCCTTCACCAGCCCACACCCTCCTTCATCTTCACACCCTAGGGCTCTGTGACCTCTGTCCCAGCCTGGAGAAACAACTGCTAGTGTTCCCAGGACACAAGTGTGGGAGTCTGCAACTTGTGGTGAGCTGTTCAGTGGGCAGGGATGGGTAGGTGTGTGGGCTGGCTCTACCTGTGGACTCTGGGACCCTGTCCTCCATATTCCCCTGAGCCCAAACTGTTCCTTCCCACCATAGGACCTGGCGAGCACAAAGCCTGGCACTTCATCTGCTCCATTTACCATCAATGCACATCAGAGCGACGTAGCTTGTGTGTCCCTAAACCAGCCAGGCACCGTAGTGGCCTCGGCCTCCCAGAAAGGCACTCTTATTCGACTTTTTGACACACAGTCCAAGGAGAAACTGGTGGAACTGCGCCGAGGCACTGACCCCGCCACCCTCTACTGGTGAGCACAGGGTATGTGTGGTAGGCCGGCAACCCCACGCCACATAACATGTGGGCGTCACTGCTAGTCTGTCTTCCAGCATCAACTTCAGCCACGATTCCTCCTTCCTGTGCGCTTCCAGTGATAAGGGCACGGTCCATATCTTTGCTCTCAAGGATACCCGCCTCAACCGCCGCTCCGCGTGAGTATCCCCTACCCCACTCTGCCACGTCCCCATCCCCCTGCCCATGTGCCATACCTGGGCTTAGCCAGTGCTGCCTGCAGGCTGGCTCGCGTGGGCAAGGTGGGGCCTATGATTGGACAGTATGTGGACTCTCAGTGGAGCCTGGCGAGCTTCACCGTGCCTGCCGAGTCAGCCTGCATCTGCGCCTTTGGTCGCAACACTTCCAAAAACGTCAACTCTGTCATTGGTGAGTGAGCCTATCCCTTGACTGGGCATAGTACATGGGTGAAGTCCTGCAAGTTGGACCGGAAAGAATTTTAGGGAATGGGAAGCCTGAGCAAGCTAGAATGGGTGGCTTAATTCCATCACCAGTAAGAGGGATGATATGTGGGCAAAAGCCTGGAAGGAGAGACCCTAGGCCATGGGACACCTGAGAGGACTGGAGTGTGGTTTTGGCAGCCTCTAACCTTTTACTGATCTTTCCCCCTTCTTCCAGCCATCTGTGTAGATGGGACCTTCCACAAATATGTCTTCACTCCTGATGGAAACTGCAACAGAGAGGCTTTCGATGTGTATCTTGACATCTGTGATGACGATGACTTTTAAGGACTCTGTGGGTTGTTAGGGACCTGCAGTGGCAGAGTATAAAGCATTTATGGGGGTGGGAGTGCTGGAAGCCACCACCCAGTAAGCACTAATGGGGCTGGTGCCCACTTTCCACTCCGCAGAGCAATGCCTAAACAGCTCATTTCCCCCTAAGCACTTCCCCTAAGCACTTCCCCCAAGCACTTAAAGACTGTGTGCCCACAGGGCCAGGCCACAGACCCAGGGAGGCAGCAGATGCCCTGGGGCTCCCAACCTGGAGAAGACTATACTAGGGACCCAGAGGGAATGCCCTAATCCAACCTCTGGGGATAAAAAAAAAATTTCCCAGAAAGAACCCATCTTTGATGTGATGTGAATAAAATAATCTTAATAGTATTTCTCGCTGGACCTCGGGGGTGGAGCCTGGAAGAGATGAGCCCGAAAAGGACATGCAGAAGTTTCCAGGAAAGGTGTGACCCTCTTGGACCATGACAGGAAGGAGCTGGGATCCTGGTCCTCCCCTGACAGTCCCTGTCTTCATCTCTCTGCCATGTCCAAATGTTTGGCTACTGTGTGCTTGTGCCGCCAGAGCTGCCCGGAACAATCCCCCCCTGGTGACCCCACCCGGGGGTGGATGGGAATGCCTTTCCTCGCAGCCTAGACTTGGTTGCCCGGCAGGCCCTGCTGCCTTACAGTTATGACGTATTTACATTTCCGGTCATGTGCGTTTCTGCGCCTGCGTCGTCCACCTGAAATGGGTAGGGCAGCAGCCGCCCCGCCCAGACTCCATTTCCCGGTATCCACCGCGGTAGCGCGAGGTGTAACGGGTGTTGTAGTACAACTGGTCTTCTGGCTGGTCCAGCTACATCGACTTGCAGGATGTCGGAGGTGCGGCTGCCACCGCTACGCGCCCTGGATGACTTTGTTCTGGGGTCGGCTCGGCTGGCGGCCCCGGATCCGTGCGACCCGCAGCGATGGTGCCATCGCGTCATCAACAACCTCCTCTACTACCAAACCAACTACCTTGTCTGCTTCGGCTTCGGTCTCGCTCTGGCCGGGTGAGGGAGGAAGGGAGGGAGGCGCCAGTTGGCCAGGGACGCCTGCAGGGCATGGAAGGTGGGCCCGCGGGATTCTGAGATCCGGGAGAGGTAATCTGACGGGGCTGCAAGGCCTGGAAGAAAGAATTGAGTAGAGAAGAAAACCCTACCGGGCATGGGAAGGAGGACTTGGAGGCAGTGGGACCTAGTTATAAGGCGGGCCTGGGGAGAGATTAGAGCCTGGCTGAGGGGGGCCGAGGGTGGTAGAGGGACTGGAAGGGAAGACCTGGGGAGGATGGAGAAACTGGACCTGAAGGGGAAACTCGGCTGGGAGGTGTACCTGAAGATAAGGAGGGCCTGAAAGTGGGGTGTGAGTGTCAGGGTGTGGGATGATGCGAGTGATGGGACCAGATTAAGGTGCCCCTCGAAGCCTTAGGGCAGGGACGGGGACGGGGACTGGGACGTCCCTATGGTCAAGTTGAAGGGTTTGGAGGGTGGACTTGTGGAACATCTGGGCTTGGAGGGGAGCCTGGCTATTACTGGAATATTACTATTACTGCTGGAATGCAGCAGGAGCAGGTACTTGTTGGGGGAACTTGAGCCTAGCTAGGCCCTAGAGGGATGGAAGGCTTGAGACCAGAGAGGATGGAGAACCTGGAGGAGGAACTTGGGTGGGACTGGAAGTTAAGAGTGGGACCTAACGCCTGGGGGTTCTAACAATGATGGAAGAAGGAATCTATAGAGACATGGAAACCTGGAAGAGGAATTTCAAGGGGAGGACCCTGGGCCTGGAGAAAGGAAACGAATGGAGACAGGAGGACTGGAGAAAGAATCTGCAAGGGTTGGGTTCAAAGGGTGGGTTTGGGGGCATAATGGGGTGGGGTACTGGAGAGGGGCCCTGTGGGGGTAGGGTCAGAAGGAAAGAGCAGGGCAGGAGCCTCGCGGGACGGGAGGGCCTGAAGCACCAGAAGATGGGACTGTAGGATTGAAAAGAAAGAAATGAGGGTCCACAGGGTGAGTCCAGTGATCCTGGAAGTGGGAATCCCTGGAAGGTTAGACCTGTTGGAGACAGGGCTGGCAGGAGTATTTGCCGGGCTGGGAGAGTCCGAAGGGGGAGGCAAAGCTCTTGGGACATGGGATCGGGTCCGCGGTGGTCTGGGAGGCTCGGAGGCCAGGCGGCTCTCTCCCCAACTGGCCAACTAGCTGAGTTCCATTGTCCCCGCAGGTACGTGCGCCCGCTGCACACCCTCCTAAGCGCGCTGGTAGTGGCAGTGGCTCTTGGGGTGCTGGTGTGGGCAGCTGAGAGTCGCTCAGCTGTGCGTCGCTGCCGCCGCAGTCACCCCGCCGCCTGTCTGGCCGCAGTGCTTGCCGTCGGCCTCCTGGTTCTCTGGGCGGTGGGCGGTGCTTGCACCTTCCTGCTCAGCATCGCCGGGCCAGTATTTAGTGAGTCTCCACTACCCTGAGATAGCCGGGAACACGGCCAGCAGTGCGCTCGGCGCCAGGCCGGCCCTGCCCTGCCCTGCTTCCCTGGGGGGAGAGGGGGCTGGTGGACCCGGAGGGCATGACCACACCCCTTTACCAAGCGCCTTCTCTGCCTTCACTCTCCTCTTAAGACCGCCTTTCCGGGCCTCACTCCTAGTATTTAGTGCCTTCTACCGGCCACGTCCACATTACCATGTGCCCTCCCTGGCCACGCCCCTGTTGCAAAGCAATTACTAAGCCATATTTTCAGGATCAGAGATGTCCTGGTCACTGACCACGCCATTGGCTTGCCCGTGCTCCAGTTTCCCCCTGTGGGCCCCCATTGGCTAAAGGCTGATGTCCCGTCCCACTGACTCCACTCGTCTGGTATTGCCCACAGTAATCCTGGTGCACGCCTCGCTGCGCCTGCGCAACCTCAAGAACAAGCTCGAGAACAAGATCGAGAGCATTGGTCTCAAGCGGACGCCAATGGGACTGCTACTGGAGGCGCTGGGACAAGAGCAGGAGGCTGGATCCTAGGGGCCTGAGATCTGTACCCAAGACCTGGAGAATGCCACCCCCACCCCGGCCAGTACCTGGCATTCAGAGCCCTTTTCCAGCTCTTAAAATAGGAGTCCCTTGCCCAGTTCAAAAAGCAGATGCTCCCTCAGATCCAAAACTGGGATATCCCTCATTCCCAGCCCCCATTACCTGGGGACCAGAGTCTTCCCCAGCCCTGAACTTGGGACCCAGAGCCACCCACATCCAGCCAAAAACTAGGGCTTGGAAACCCAAGCATCCATGGCCAAACTCTAGATGGAGACATTCCCCCAACCCCAAACTGGGACCTACCAGTTACAAAGCTAGGGTGTGGGACCACAGCAATCTCAAATCTTGAACCCTAGTGCAAGGCTTTTCCAGACACTACCCCAGCTTTGAACCCACATCAAGTCATTGCCAAACCTTTACCCCAGGACCCAAGTGTTCCCAGCCTCCCTCTGGGTGGAAGAGTCAGGTATCCAGACCCTGTTGAACGCTTGGTCCCAGGTGACTCCAACACTCACCAGTCCCACTTGCCTCCCTCCAGTTGTTTAGGGATTCTGCCCCTGCCCCCAAGTTACACAGTGGTGAGAACCATGGGATGGGTTGGGGTGGAGTGGGGGTAGCCCCAACCTGGAATGAGGCATATATATCAGTGTTGCTGCCAACAATAAAGGCTGTTGCATCTTTCAAGCCAATTGGGCCTCCTGGATAGTCTGTGCATTTCAGTGGCCAGAGTGGCATGCTTTTCAATTTTGCTCAACTCTTTCTGACTAGCTCGCTCTGTCAAATGTGTGGGCTGAAGGGGTGAGCTCTCTGTTCCTTCCTGGAACCTGTTACCTCCAGAGCGGCATTAATGCACAAAGTAGTTAAGGGCAGTGTTCCCATCATCATTTGTATTACTAAGGGCTCTTGTTCAGGGTTGGCTAGAAATCTTGAGCACAGATAGGCAGAGAAGTTACCCCACACCACAAAGCGAGTAAAGCCAAAGCAGATGACATTATCACAGGCTGTTTCTGCAGTGTTGTACTTTTTTCATAACATGGTATTATAAAAATATGTCTGGTCTTCACTACAGGTGTGGGCCCCAAGGTAAGGCAGAGAGAGGAGCAACACATGGGTTTGGTTTACACATTTATTCTAGAAATCCCCTTCCAGTGTGGGTAGTGTCTTGGGCCCAGATTCATTGGTACAAAAAGAAAAGTTAAACACCAGGTAAAGGGGGTAGGGGGACCCCCAGCTCCAGAAAGTCACAGACAGGTATCATAGAAAACACAGCTTGTGTATATTTGTTTAAAAAGTGGTGGATGAAAGGAAAGCCAAGGAAGATGTGACGCAGCCTGTGGCTAGGCGTCACCTGAGGATTTTACTGGCATCTACCAGGTGCCAGGTTCCACCACGGCAGCATCCCAGGACACAACACGCCCGATGGCTCTGCCCTTCGGCCCTCCTGCAGGGCCTCCAGACAGGATAGTCAGGGTAGAGGCTGCCGCCAAAGGCTGGGCCATATCACCCTAGGGGCAGAAGCAGCGGGCACAAACAGGCAGACAGGGACAGGGGTCCCTTAGGCACCCCTGGGGTGGGAAAATGAACCCAAGCTCCCCACCTAGACTTCAGTCCTTCCAAATGTGGGCTGAGAGCCCACCTCCACAAGAACAGACTTGGTGGGGGTGGCAGGGAGTTCTGTTCACACCAGAATCCCCAGCTGCCCCAAACAGGGCCCTGTGACTCTATATGGTCCATTTTATGGAAGAGGTTCCTGAATGGAACAGGCTGGGCATGGGGACAGGAATGAACCCAACCAGATGAGATCACAGTTTCCCTTTTATAAAATGCCTAGTGTTGGGGGAAGACAGTGAAAATCTAAATCACAACTGTAAACAGAAATGGAGGAAGGGGCTTGGAGTCCCCATTACACCATCCCTTCTTTTAAGCTGGCTGAGGGCCCCAGTTCTCAGTACAGTACGAGGAGAAGCAGGGCATCAGACACCTTCATGGGCCCACAGGGAGCTGGGGCCTTGGAAGATCAGGTTGGTGCCCCCTAGGACTGCGAACAACCACACCCCAGGGCTCAGCGAGGTCAGATGTGTGCTCCCCAGACTGGAGTCATGCCCGGGCCACCAAGGAGCATAAAAGAAGGGGTCAGACCAGTGTCCCCGGGGTCTGAGGGTCAGAACTGGAGGACTGCTCCCCCTCTAGCGTCAGGTCACTTAAACGAGCGCTCAGCTCCGGGGGGTACAGGAAGTCCGCGTAGTATCTTTAGAAAGGGTAGCAGGAATCCGGAGGACAGGGTGGGAAGACAGAGAAGAGAGGAAAAGACGGACAAGACACAGAAAGAGAGAGGAAAAGAGGCTCGTTAAAGAGGTGGAGGCAGGTATAGGACAGCACCTTGGGTCTCGCAAGCGTGGGGCGTGGTGAAAAGATGAAGAGAAAGGCAAGGGCACAGGATGTCCCTTCCTCCCAGCACCCTGGTTCTGAGGCTCATTTTCAGTTGACATGCACTGGTTGTTAAAATATTAAGATTATTCTATAGCATGGTAAAGAGCTGCTGCTACCAGGGCCCAAGATACCCCTCCACCAAGACCCCATGGACTAATGTAGGTCAGGCAGGGCCCAGTGATCCTGTGCCAAGGCTGCAGCTACTGCTCTTGTGGTGCAAGTCATGAGCTCTCATGACTAGCTGCCCTCTAGCCTGGAGACCTTTGCCATCTGCCTTAAGAGACCCCTTACCCATCAGTAGAAGCACCCCCCATACCTGCCGGAGACAGGGGGCGCCGTGAAACTCCTCGAGTGTGGGAGGGGTGCCTGGCTGGGAGCCCCATACAGCGCCTGGCCCACCTCATAGCAGCGGGTATGAAGGAAGGGCGGGTGTTGCGGGCCCATGTGGGGGAGCACAGGCCGGCGCTGGGGCCCCGCGGCCAGTCCCGAGTTCCGGATGTACCAGTCCCGCAGCCCCTCCAGAGCAAGGTTCTTGTGGCCGCTGCGCTCGCCAGCCGTGGGGATACGGGTGGGTGGGGGCATCCACAACAGAGGGTTTGGATGCACCTCTGGACCCTCAGCGGCCTCCAGGGGCAGGCCACAGGGCTTGGTGCGGGTGGCACGGGTGTGGGGGTCCTTACTGCGGAGGAGGGGGCTGCTGACGTCAGCTGCATACATAGGTGGTGGGCCTGGGAGCATAGCGAGGAGCCCATCCCGGCGGGACAGGGGTCCTGGGACCTCAGCTGCATGCAGCAGCTCCCCCCAGCCTGGCCCACCAACACCACGGGGCAGGCCTCGGTCCAGTGAATAGTCCAAGAGGAAGTCCCCACACACAGGTGGGAGCCGAGGGGGCCCGCGGGAGGCAGGGGCAGCTGAGCTTGGCCGGGCAGCCCTGGGAGGGTCTGGGGGACCAGCTGTGCGGGAGGAGAAGGCAGGGATTGGTTGGGGACGCTCATACAGCACCTCACTGCTCTTACAGACTGGGGGACCAGTGGCAGGAGGAGCCAGAGGTGCAGGTGGGGAGCCAGCCCCCCCTCCAGCTGCCCGGTCCACAAGCAGGGCCTCGGAGCTGTTGCTGCGGCGGGTACGAGCAGTGAAGAGGGAGGCACGGTCGGAGGCTGGGTCCACCCGGGAGAAGCCCATCTGGGAGTCCTGGCTGCCCGACCACTGGCGAGAATGGAGGCCTTCGGGTCTGGGGGAGTGGAGGGGAGGGTGATGGGAGGAAGGTTACAAATATCAGGCAGATGGGCTGAGTGTCCTAGGTCCCTGCCATGCCTCTCTGAGCCTTCAATTCCCCACCCCCAAAATGGATCCAGGATTACAAATTGTGTATATAAAGGTGTTAGAGGTGTGTAAATGGCAGCAGACGTTCTGCCCCAGACTGGGGGGCAGAGGGACTGAAAACGTATGGGGAGCCTGTGGCTGTTAGCTCCGAGGGAGATGTCAGTGTGTGTAGGGCTGGAGCGGAAATGCTGGCATGGGAGGGCCCAGCAGAGGGTTCTTCTGAGCACATCTGACCTGCACCCCCTGCTAAGGTGCTTCTCATGGCTCCCCACTCCTCCACAATGAGGTCCTAATCCTTAGGCCTGGAATTCAGGGCCATTCCTGAACTATGCCCCCCATGTATATGAACCACCCAAAACTATCATCCCAACAGCCACCATCACAGGATGCAGGCGCTGTAAGGACGCAGCCTGAGAAAAGCAGGCACTTAGTATTTAAGAAGCAATAGAGTACAAGGGTTAAAAGCATGGACTCTAGAGTCAAATTTGCTTGGGTTCAAATACCAGATCTATGGTTTATAACAAGTCACTTAACTTCTGTGTACCTCAGTTTCCTCATCTATAAAACAGGCATAACAATAGCACCTATCTCACAGGGATCTTGTGATGATTAAATGAGCTGATACAATGCAAAGCACTGATTCCTAGCAGATGGTAGGCACTCAGTACATGTTAGCGAGAACTTATTATACCCACAGTACCTTTCAAAGGCAGATATTATTATGCCCATTTCACAAATGAGGAGACCAAAATGCATAGAAAGGAAATGACTTGTCCAAAATGCACAGAAAAGCCCATACTCAAACTTTGGGGCTTCTGCCCCAAATCCTCACCCGCTTCTTCTCCACCAAGACAACTCTTATTCAGGGGCTGGCCGAGTGGCTCGAGTTGGTTAAGAGTTGGCTTAAGTGCGCAGGCCCTGAGCCACGGAGCTGCGGGGTCAATTCCCACATGGGCCAGTGACGCTGCACCCGAGCTGAGCTGTTACTGAGCTGCCAACAGGTGGCAGGATGGCTCAGCTGGTGTAACAACAAAACTGCCTGTTGGATGGTGTGCTACGCCCACCCGCAACTAAGACTGAACTCAACACCTTGAGCTGAGCTGCCGTCTGGATGGCTCGGTGGATAGGACGTGCGCTCTTAACAAGGCTGCTGGGTTCAACTCCCACATGGGATGGTGGCTATGTCCACCCACAACTAAGATTGTAGCACAGCACCTTGAGCTTAGAGCCCACGAGCTGCCGACGGGAAGCCAGATAGCGACTGGAGCCCTCCACAACGAAGACTGAAGAAGAACAACTTGGCTGGTCTCCTTCCCCAATTGCCCAACTCCGTTCCCCTCCCCCAATTCCCCAATAAAATCTTAAAAAATAAAAAAGACAACTGTTATTCACCTTTCAAAGCCCAGCCTTTTATGTCCCATATCCTTTGGTAATGCTCTCTCAGTTTGAACTAATGATTCCCTCCTCTGGTCCTGAAACCCACCCCCCGAATCTGCTTACTTGCAGAGCTGGGGGCCAGTGCCCCGGGTGAGGACAGGGGTGGCAGGCACACTTCTCCCCTCAAAACTGGAGGCACTCCTGGGCAGAGAGCGAGTGGGGCTAGACAGAGACAGGCAGACCCGGGTGGGGCTCCATGTTAGAGAACGTCCCCACCAGCAGGCCCTCCTGCCAGCCCAAGCTCAGGATCCCATTCCTGGCTCTTGGGGGACGGAGAGAAGAGGTTCACCCTCACCTGGTGGGGCTGGCCACAGAGTTCCGCCGGCTCTTTAGGTCCCCATAAAGATCTGATGGGGGTGGTTTCCATGGAGTTCGCCGCTCAGGGCTGCCCCCAGATACAGCCCGCAGCTGGTCCCAGGCCTTGGGTGGCGAGGGGCGCTCCGTCAGAGGGAAGCAGCCACGGGGCTCCTCTGGGTGGAAGGGAGAAAGTGGGGGACAA